AAAAAAAAAAACCTAAAAAATTAGGAACAGAAGAAAACTACCTTAACAAAATAAAGGCCACATATGAAAAGCCCACAGATAACACCATATTTAATGGTGAAAGACTGAAAGCTTTTCCTCTAAGATCAGGAACAAGGCAAGGATGACCACTTTCACCACTTCTATTTGACATAGTTCTAGAAGTCCTAGCCAGAGCAATTAGGCAAGAAAGAGAAATAAAATGCAATCAAATTAGAAAGGAAGAAGTAAAATTATCTCTGTTCACACATGACATGATCTTATATGCAGAAAACTCTAAAGATTTCACACATACACAAAACTTTTAGAACTAAGAAACAAATACAGCAAAGTAGCAAGATAGAAAATCAACACACAGAAATCAGTTGCATTTCTAAACATTAACAATGAACAATCAGAAAAGGATATTAAAAACACAATTCTACTTGCAATAGCATTAAAAAGAATAAAATACTTAGGAATAAACTTAACCAGGTAGGCAAAAGACTTGTGACCAAAAACTACAAAATGTTGCCAAAGGAAATTAAGGAAGATGGGGCTGGCCCAGTGGTGTGGTGGTTAAGTTTGCACGCTCTGCTTTGGGGCCTGGGGTTCGCAGCTTCGGATCCCTGGTGTGGACCTATGCACCATTTATCAAGCCATGCTGTGGCAGGCATCCCACATATAAAGTAGAGGAAGATGGGCACGGTTGTTAGCCCAGGGCCAATCTTCCTCAGCAAAAAAAGAAGAGGATTGGCAATGGATGTTAGCTCAGGGTTAATCTTCCTCATAAAAAAAAAACGGAAATTAAGACACCAATAAATGTGAAGACATCTGTGTTCATGGATTGTAAGATTTAATATTGTTAAGATGTCAATACTACCCAAAGTAATTGACAGATTTCAATGTAATCTCTACCAAAATTCCAACAAAATTTTTTGCAGAAATAGAAAAATCCATCCTAAAATTCATATGGAACCTCAAGGGACCCTGAGATTCTTTTAGCTAAAACAATCTTTAAAAAAAAGAACAACAAAGTTGGAAAACTCACACTTCCCAGTTTCAAAACTTAGTACAACGTGACAGTAATAAAAAAAAAAATGTGGTACTGGCATACAGACAGACAGATAGACCTAATGGATCAGAATAATGAGCCCAAAAATGAACTGTCACGTACATAGTAAAATGATTTTAAACAAGAGTGACAAGACCATTCAACAGAGAAAGGACAGTCTTTTCAACAAATGGTATTGGGAAAACTGAATATTCACATGCACATAAATGAATTTGGACCCTTACCTTACACCATATACAAAAACTAGTTCAAAATGGATCAAAGACCTAAACCTAAGAGGTAGAACTATAAAACTCCTAGAAAAAAACATAAGGGAAAATCTTCATGACATATGACATCAAAAGCACAGGCAACAAAACGAAAATAATAGATATATTAGACGACATGAAAATTAAACATTTCTGTGCATCAAAGGACACAATCAGCAGAGTAAAAAGGCATTCTATGAGAGAATGGGAGAAAATATTTGCAAATATCTGATAAGGAGTTAATATTCAAAATATATAAAGAATTCCTATAAATCAACAACAAAAAACCAAAAACCCAATTCAAAAATGGGCAAAGGACTTGAATAGACATTTCCCCAAAGAAGATATACAAATGGCCAATGAGAACATGAAAAGATATTTAACATCACTAATCATTAGGGAAATGAAAATCAAAACCACAATGAGATACCACTTTACTCCCATTAGGATGGTTATCATCAAAAAAAAACAGAAAACAACAAGTATTAGTGTGGATGTGGAGAAATTGGAACCCTTATGTAGTAGAATTGTAAAATGATGCAGCTGTATGGAAAATAATATAGTGATTCCTCAACAAATTAAACATAGATTTATCATTTGATCCAGCAATTCCACTCCTAGATATATACCCAAAAGAACTGAAAGCAGCAAGTTAAACAGATATTTGTATACCCATGTTCATAGCAGCATTATTCACAATAGCCAAAAGATGGAAGTAACCCAAGTGCCCACTGAAGAATGAATGGATAAATAAAATGTGGTATATCTATGCAACAGAATATTACTCAGCCTTATAAAAGAATGAAATTCTGACACATGCTATAACATGGATGAACCTTGAAGACATTAAGCTAAGTGAAATAAGCTAGACACAAAAGGGCAAATATTGTGTGATTCCACTGATATGAGGTATCTAGAGTAGACAAATTCATAGAGACAGAAAGTAGAATGGTGGTTACCAGGGGCTTGGAGGTGAGAGAAATGGAGTTATTGTTTACTAGACATAGAGCTTCAGTTTGGGATGATGAAAATCTCTGGAGATGGATGGTGATGATAGTTGCACAACAAGGTGAATGTACTTAATGCCACTGACCTCTACATTTAAAAATGGTTAAGATGGTAAATGTTATGTATATTTTACCACAATTAGAAAAAATAAAACTAACTAACTAAGGTAGTATGTTTAAGCCCTCTGCAGCCCATTCCTCCCACTGATTACAAATATTCTGGGAAAAATATAAAAATCAACAACTTGAGGACTCTTAAAAGTAAACAAAACCAGGTGGATTGTGGAAGGGAGTCAAACATTGAGAAATGAACTGCACAGAAGTGTGTCCCAAATTTTTTTCTCTCTTTCTCTCTCACAGCTTTGCCTCAGGTGTATAGCCCAATCATAATGCTGCCCAACGAAGGCACCTAAAACTCGAATAGAAATTCATCTTTGAGGCCATAGAAACCAAAGAAGGGTCCCCTTTAGGCAGGAAAGTGTGGGGGGAATCCCAGAAGTGATAGAGCAGAAAAGAAGATGTCTTAATTTTGTATATGATTCCCTACAAGTCTCAGCTTAACCCCTGCACCATGCATGCACATGACTGTCCCAAACCAGTACATTCAAGACTTAGAGAACTAGACGAGGATTTGAACCACTGTCTAAAGATGATGAGACAAAATTCACTTTTCTTCTTTTTTGCTGAGGAAGATTCGCCCTGAGCTAACATCTGTGGCCAATCTTCCTCTATTTCGTATGTGGGTCGCCACTACCACATGGCTAATGAGTGGTGTAGGTCCGTGCCTGGAACCAAACCCAGGCTGCCAAAGCGGAGCGTGCTGAACTTAACCACTAGGCCACCACGCCGGCCCCCAAAATTCACATTTTAAACCTACTCAGGTTGACTGCCTGCTAAACAAAAATATTAGGATTCTCCAGAGAATTATAAAAGGACCCAGAGTCTATGCAACATAGCATTCACAATGTCAAGATGAAATCCTAAATTACTAGACATACAAAGAACAGAAAAATGTCACCCATTCTCGTGGGAGAAGACAATCAACAAACAGCAACTTAGAAATGAGCCAGATATTAGAAATATCCAACAAATATTTTAAAAAGCAACTACTATAATTAATATGCTCTATGAGGTAAAGGAAAACACATTTGAAATGATTTTGAGGGGTGATGGAAATAGGAATGTTTGTTATCTTGATTGTGGTGATGATTTCATGGGGGTGTACAACTCGATAAAGTAAAAAAAAAAATAAAGTAACATTAATCACATTTGTGCCAAGCACAAGGTAAATGTTATTAATGACCATTTTACAGATTAGGAGACTGAAATTCAGAAAGATTAAGTACTTGCCTAAGGTTACAAAGTTAATCAGGTACAGGATTCTAAGGCAGATTCTTTTCCTTCCAAGACTATAATATTATTTCCTTATCTGACAAAACAATACAGCCTTAACTCTACTTAATTTATGAAGTTTTTAGCAGGATTGAGTAAAGTATGTCTCTAAGATATATAAATTCATATGAGATAGGCAACACATTAGTACATGGATTTCATACCACCAATTACATATTATTATTTTCCTACTAAATTGAAAGAAATTTCCCCTCTAGTAATCAATCCCAGCGGAAACAGTGAGTACTCAGCAGTGAGTACAGACTGTATTTTAACCTCTATTTTTCACATTGTAAGTCTCAGAAATATAGAAGAAATATTATATACTGATGGTACTGTGTGGGTTAATCCATTGATAAAATCTATGAAAGACATATAACCCATATATGATCAGTAATATTTCCAAAAGCCAATGTTTATTATATTCCTATAATAAAAAAACATGCAGTAATCTCAAAAGATATTGCAGAAGAATATTTCATTACGTGAAAATATGGTGACATGTTGAATAATAAAAGCAGCTTATAAAAAGTACTAATGTATTACTTTATTTTTTTTAAATGCATACACCTACAGAGAAAAAGACTGGAAAGATATATAATATATATAAAATATTAAAGAGTGACTATATCTGCATGATTTTAATTATTTATCTTTTTGCTTCTCTGAATTTTCCAAATATTCTATAATAAACAAGTAGTGTTTTTGTTGTTTTTTTTTAAGCCAGCCCTGGTGGTTCAGTGGTTAAGATTCAGTGCGCTCATCACTACGGTCTGGGGTTCATTTCCAGTCAGGGAACCACACCACCCACCTGTCGGTTGTCACACTGTGGCAGCTGCCGTGTTGCTGTGATGCTGCAAGCTTTGCCACCAGTATTTCAAACACCAGCAGGGTCACCCATGGTGGACCTGTTTCAGCAGAGCTTCCAGACTAAGAAAGACTAGGAAGAAGGACCTTGCCACCCACTTCTGAAAAAATTGGCCATGAAAACCCTATGAATAGTAGGGAAGCATTGCCTGATACAGCACCAGAAGGTGAGAGGATGGTGCAAAAAAACGGGCAGGGTTCTGCTCTGGTATACACAAGGTCGCTAGGAGTTGGAATCAACTTGACTGCACTAACAAGTGTTTTTTAATATGTAAAAACAATAAAAAATTTATTGTTTCAAAGTGTAACAATAAACAAAAGGGTCCCACTTCCCAGGATGGATTATCTTTGCTTCCAATTTAGATCTGAGGGTGCCTTTTTTGCAAGGTACAGTCACAATCTAATAGCACTCACCTGTCCAACTGCTTGCAGGTTATAACAGACAATGTCCTTATTGGCTGCTGAAGTTCCATAGAGAAGTGCTTCAATGAGCCAGCAAATCCCCAGGAGGAGGTCAGAGAAGCTCAGATAAAAGAGTGGCCTTATCTGTCAAAGCAACAAAAGCCTCATTTCATAAATGACTGGTAGCCAGGCGAATGTAACAATCAATTATTTTTATGTTTCACCTTTCTAGGAGAAAATTGGGCATCATTTTTCTGGGGCCTCTGCCACTGGTTGACTGTGGGAATGTAAAGGAATACTCTAGGTAGGAAAGAATCTGTAATCACAACTATTCCAACTGTTCTGGAATCAGAGTACTCATGGATGGATTAGCATTGGAACTTCTTCCTCATAGAGACACTCCTTCCTCAGATTTAGGGTCAAAGGTAAGAATGGACAGAGGAGAAATTTTGTGATGTAGACACACCACAAATGGAAAATTGAAAGTGCTCTAGTTGTACAGCCAACATCTAAAAATAGGAAATGAGATCATCTCCTGAGTGTTTAGGAATATAGTGAAGGACTTAATGAAAATAAAAATAGGGTTTTAAAAATCTTAATATAGTTTAATTTGTATTTTTTCTTTTTTTCTTTATTGAGGTATAATTGACAAATAAAATTTTAAGATATTTAAAGTATACAATGTGATGATTTGGTATATGTATACATGGTGAAGGGATTTACCCTGAGTGTTAATTAACAAATCCATCACCTCACATATTTACTTTTTGTGTGTGTGTGAGAACATTTAAGTTCTACTCTCTTGGTAAATTTCAATTATACAATACAGTGTTATCAATTAGTCACCATGTTATACATTAGATCCTCAGACTTTATTCATCTTATAACATAGATTTTCATATCAATGAAAAGTCAAGGTGGGGAAAAATATCAGTATGAATTGTATATGTTGTCTTTCAATTTCTGACCACATTGGTGAAGTTCGTCTTTCTCACTTTCTAATATCCTTCGTCTTTTAGCCTCCCCATTCCCATTTTTCTAAAAATAGTTTTGGTCCTTCTATAGAGAAAACTATAAGGTGTTTATTGAGAGACACCAAAGAAGATCTACAGTGAAGAATTACACCATGCTCGTGGATTGTAACACCCAATATTATGAAAATATCAATTCTCCCTAAACTGATACATAGATGAAATACAATCTCAATTATATCCCAACATATTTTCTTGCGGAATCTGATATTTCCACAATTTGACAAGTTGGCTCTAATACAGAAATAGAAATACAAAATATCAAGATAACCAAGACATTCTTGAAGAAAAAGGAGAAGGAGGACTCACCCTACACCTATCAAAATTTAATATAAAGATAGAGTACAGATACTGTGGTACTAGCACAGGGATGGACAAACAGACCAATGGAACAGAATAGAGAGTCCAAAACAAACCCAAGCTTATATATAGACTTTTGATATATGATAGAGGTAGCTTTTTAGATCAATAGAGAAAGGATAGTCTTTTCAAAATATGATACATTAACAATTGGGTATCTATATGGGTAAAAATAAAATTGGACCCTTACTTTCTACCTCACACATTCAAAAATCAATTCCAACTAGTTTAAAGACCTAAATGTGAAAGGAAAAACCTATAAAGATTTTCTTTAATAATACAGGAGAAAGTCTTCAACTTCCGGTTAGGTAAAATTTTCTTAAACAAAAAACAAAAAGTTCTAAAAGAAATTATTGAAAAATTCGACCACATTAAAATGAAAAATGTCTGTCAAAAGACACCATAAAGAAAGTAAAAAGACATGCCACAAAGTGGAAGAGATATTTGCAACACATACAATGGACAAAGGATCAGTATCCAAACAGTATTAAAAACAAAAACAAACCAACAAAAACTCTAACAAAGAAATAAGAAAACTCAATTGAAAAAGGGGCAGGGGCCGGCCCCGTGGCGTAGCGGTAGAGTGCACACGCTCCGCTGCTGGCAGCCCGGGTTTGGATCCCAGATGTGCACGGAGGCACTGCTTGTCAGGCCATGCTGTGGCGGCGTCCCATGTAAAATGGAGGAAGATGGGCACAGATGTTAGCCCAGGGCCAGTCTTCCTCAGCAAAAAGAGGATTGGCATGGATGTTAGTTCAGGGCTGATCTTCCTCACAAAAAAAAACCCCAAAAAGGTAGCAAAAGATTTGAACAGATACTTAGGAAATCCAAATGGCCATAAACATATAAAAATATGCCTGACCTCATTAGTAATCAAGGAAATGAAAATTAAAACCACAATGAGAAAAAAATTACACACCCATGGCAAATATTTTTAAAAATCTGACAACATCAAGTATTAATGGGAACATGAAGCAATGGGACCTTTCATACACTGCTGCCACAACCATTTGGAAAAAGTTTGACATTATCTAGGAGATACGCACATTCATATATGCATACATATAACAATTCTGTTATTAGGTAAATACACTAGAGAAATTTTTGCATGTGTACACCAGAAGACATGTACAACATTGTTTATAGCACATAGATAAATTGTGGTATGTTCATAATATAGAACGCCAAACATCAATGAAAATGAAATGAACCAGAACTATACACAGCAACATAGATTAATATTGACGAAAAAAACAAATCACAAAACAACACATACAGTATTATTCCACTGTCAGAGTTCAAAAACAAGCAAAACTAAACTGTTTAGAGATACATACGTTACTGTTAAACTGTACATAAAAGCAAAGAAATGATTATCACAAAAATCTGGATAGTGGTTACCTAGAGAAGTGAGGGGGAGAGTTGTGATGGAGAAGGAGCATAGTAGGTATATTTGGGGGTACAGGTAATTTCTATTTCTTGTCCCTAGTGTTTGCTTATAATTATTCTTTAAACAATACATACATATTTTATGCATTCTAATCCATGTCTGATATATCTCACAAAAAAAAGTTTAAAAAATGTTAAGTTATCATCAGATACTACCTCATATAAGGACTGATGTCCTCACTTGTACAAAAGGAATTTTTCTCATACCTTTCTTCCAAATGAGAGGCAAGTTAAGATGCTAATACTTTGCTAATAGGGGAAAATGGGCAAGTTGCCTTGGCTAACAAAAACAAAAACAAGTGAAATGATAACATTTTAAACTGTATTTAATAAATATCAGATATTATTATTATTATTATTTTAACAATATATAGCCTTTGCTCTGGTAAGCCTGCTAAAATTCCAGCCAGATGGCACATTCGTAGATTCTACCGGCCTATGACCTACTACAAGTTTATAACTGTTAATGGGTAAAAAATTAAAACTGAATACGAAATAAACTCTGGAGGAGAAAGACAGCCAAGAGGCTTTTGTGAGCAAGCCTTATATAGAGAGAGCTGTTGGCCATTAAAACATACCTAAAATCTTTGGCAGGGAAATGGAGGATAAAAAGAGGTTCATATACTTTCACTCATGGTTGGAAAACCATGAGTTTTAGTAACAGGAGACAAAATCAATCAGACAACAAAAATTAACTGAGTACCTATCATTGAAATCACGAAAGATTTCACCCCTCTTATGTTTAACAAGATATTATGTTGAAGGTAATACAAAGAAATGTATGATGCAGCCCACGCTTTAAGGAAAATACAATCAGCACAGTGCTTGGTTATAAGGAAGACATGAAAAAGCATAAGACACGGTTCTAAATATGAAAGCAAAAAGTCTTTTTCAAAAACTCCATATATATATACATTTGCACTTGTCTAATTTAAATCAAGAGCAGAATAAGTGGGGGCGGGGAGATGCACTGGGTGAAAGGCTTTCTCTAGAGAGGTTCTGGGTCCAGGTCTGGTGAGATGAAACACCTAAAACAACTTGTATTAATACTCTTCTAAAACCCTCCTTCCCAATATTTCTACGCAAGTGAAATCAAGTTACAAAGATTATCAAAAGTGATCTTTATGGGGAAATGAAGTCACATAAGTGCAATGAAGTATATCTGCCTTGCATTTTTTTTAACACTGGCTGGCCTGGGCCACTTTCTTCTCTCTTCAGGTTGCCTCTCAGAGTCACTGTCTAATCAGCTAGTCCCCTCAAAGACTTCCCATGGATTTCTCTAACTTACTATAATTACTTTTAATTTAATAGACTATTTTTTTCTTTTTTAGATTATGCCTTCTATGTGTTTTTGCTGTTAAAAATGTTCTTTGATTAAAAAAAAAATAAAGGAAAACAGTGGAGTAGAGCTGACATTTTTAACCTGGAAAAATTGGAATCTTTTTCTAGGCCAAAAAAACAGAATGTGTGGGAACCACTGAACTAGTGATTGCTAAGGTCCTTTAGGCCTGGTTATGTGAAAGGTGTGAGAGCTGAAGCCAGAGAAATTAAAGATCACATCGTAAGCCAAACTAGACCTCACATCTTTATAAAGTTCTAATCCACTGTCATGCCAGAGGTCACCTTAGAGCAGTGGTTCTCAACCAGAAGTGATTTGGCCTCCCCTAAGAGATATTTGGCAATATTTGAAGATATTTTTGGTTGTCACAACTGTCGGGGTGGGGGATACTACAAGCATCTAGTGGGTAAAGTCTGCTAAACATCCTAACATGCAGGACAACCACCCACAACAAATAATCGTCTAGTCCAAAAAGTCAATAGTGCTGAGAGTGAGAATCTCTGCTTAGCTCTCTCCACTATGTAACTCATACTTTATTAATTTAATCACATCTGAACTCAAATTTCAGCAAAGGAAACAAACATTTGGGAAATCTGAATCACAGGAAGATGTGTGGCCCAAGATTACTTTGGCAAACAGTGAAAACACAGTATCAAGACTTCTACTTTCTAGTTTTACTTTCACAGTCACATTCTACCTCTGAAATTCAAAATTCTCTTTTCATTAGGCAGTATATTTCAGTGGTTTAAAAAGTGTATGTGGGGAGAGGCTTTGGATCAAGGCAAGTCTGCACTCAAATTCTACGTCTAACACTTATCAGCTATAAGACCTTAGGAAAGTCCCTCAACCTTACTAGCATTCCATTTCCTCATCTATAATATCAGACTAATATCTGCTTCACAGAGCTGTTTTAAGGATTAAACAAAAAATGCATTTAAAACACTGAGTACATGTGTCTCGAATATAATACTAAAAATTGTGTTTAATTTGAAGGGGAATTGTAGTTAAGAGTTGGACTTTTGAAAATCCCTGCTCTGCTACTCACTCTGTAACTTGAATAAGTTATTTCATGACTCTGAGCCTCAATTTCCTCATCCGTGAAATGGAGCTAACACCATCCCCTAGGAGAGTGACGAGGACCAATAAGATAAAGTATGTAAAGCACTCAGCACAGTTGGAACACAGTAAGTGTTCAACATACAGAGCTATTTTTATTATTAAAGTGGGTCCAATAAAACCCAATGACATTTTCCACATACAAAAGCTTTCCTATATATGTCTTGAACTACATTTTACCTAATTTTATGCCTGGTTAGAGAAACAGTTGTTACATTTCTCTTAAAATCTTTACTGAGCTAGCAAATACATCACTCTTCCTGGTCCTCTCTGTATCAGGAAGGTTGTTTGTTTGGTTGATTTTGTCTTTTTTTAACACCTTAAATATACTCAATTTTTATTTGGCAATTATACCTCGATAAAAGAAAGGTTTTTGACTTGATATTTTCAGTATGAACAGTTTTACACAGGATGTATTTTTACTCTGTTTTCACCATGAAATTGTAATTGCCTAGAAGGCGAGAACAGCAAAACAAATATCTTTTGTCTAGCAAAGTCTTTGAACTATTTCCTAACCCCACTGGCAATTTTACCAAGATATCAACATCAGAAAACCCACCTCTAGGCAGCACTCTACCATGCTTCCATTGAATACAGGTTTCAAACAACACTCTCTTTCCTTAACTTTAATAATTAATGCATACCAAAAAACCCACATTTAGTAGTCAATCTCTCAGTGTTCAAAGTTATAGTTAAAACAATTACCTAGAAGAAAAGGGAGACCAATAGACAGTGTCTAAAACATCTTAATGTATCATAATGACAAATTTACAAGTAATTTACAGGATTTTTTCATCATTTATAGGTGACACTTCTCTTATTTATTTCAAAGGCTAAGTCAAATCCAACAAAAGTCCAAATCCAACACAAAAAGAGATTGCTCACCTCTGGAGATTTCTGTATATTCTGGAATACAACATAGGTAATAAGTGAACTTGAACCTATAACACTGACAGAGATAAAAAACGATCATTAAAACAGGACAATTGGGGCTCCTTCATTTTTGTTACTGATTTTTTTTCACAGCTTTATTGACATATAATTGATGTAAAATAAACTGCACATATTTTTTAAAAATACGGAATGTTTCGCGAATTTGTGCATCATCCTTGTGCAGGGGCCATGCTCGTCTTCTCTGTATCATTCCAACTCTTATTGTATGTGCTGCCAAAGCGAGCACTTTGCTGTTGATTTTGCAAATCCATCCTGTTAACAGAGCTGTCCTCTGATTTTCAGTTTTTTTTTTTTTTTTTTTTTCCCCCCAAAGCCCCAGCAGACAGTTGTATGTCATAGGTTCACATCCTTTTAGTTGCTGTATGTGGGACTCGGCCTCACGTTGGACGGAGAAGTGGTGCCTCGGGGCGCTCCCGGGATCCGAACCCAGGCCGCCAGCATCAGAGCGCGCGCACTTAACCGCTAAGCCACGGAGCCGGCCCTGATTTTCAGATGTTACCCCTAAATCTGTTTTTTTTTGGTTATTGTTGTTGATGTTACTACATTTTGTTAATCAGAAAATATCTTCCATGGTAAAGAACAGCATTTCTGTCTAGTAACAGGATAAAAGCAAATCCCCAGGGAAAAAAATGTAGAAAACTTCAGAATTCTCCGGTTTTGCTTATACTAGTTTAAAAAGTCATATTACACGAGCTTAAATAAACTTACCTCAGTGTAGCCATAACAAATTGTATCCACTGTATGGCAGAAAAGACCTAAATAAAACAAGAAAGTGAGAATAAAATTAAGCCTTTTACATTTAACATTCAACTTTACTCCAATTTCACTGTTTATTAACTATCTGTGCAGAGAACAAACTTTTCTTCAGTGGCTAATCAAAACACACCTCAAGTCAGAGAATGAGTAGAAAGGCTGAACTGGCACCTAGAAAGGCAGGGTGGCTCAAATTTTCTGCCCTTATTGCTACATATCTGGGAAACAGTAAGATAAAAAGAATAGAGAAGTGGATAGAAAATGACCGAATAAACAAAAAGAGAGCTGGATGAGAAAATTAATAAAGGGAAGAATAAAATGGAGAAGAAGTAGGGAAAGTCCAGTTCTGAGGGAGAACTGACAGACGTGTGGAAAGAATGAGTAACAGGAAAGGCAAACAAACACTAAATAGAGTTGACAGACAGAGAAAAAATAAAATAGCAAGCAATAGAGAAATGGGAAGAAGAAAAGTTAATAGTATGGAGAGAGATACTGTAAGTGAAATATACAGAACAGGGAGGAAAAAAGGGGGAGCAAAAAAGAGGAGGAGGACAGCTTCTAATCTCACCGAGTGCCAGTTGTCCTCCAGAATGCTAGCCTCCAGTAGGAAGGCCATGGGGACTTCAGCCCCAGCTTTGCTTCAGTAGCCGGATCCTTCCCAGTCTGGTTCTGAATCCTGAAGCAGTGAACAGGTGGCTCCACCCCTAGCCCAGCTGGTCTCCTCCCTACCCAATCCTGCCCTGTATCTTGAGGGCAAGGAGAGAAGGTGCCGACAAGTGGAGGAGAAAGCCAAGCAGAAAGAACAAAAATAGAAAGAGCAGGTGACAAGGAAACAAAGTTCTAAAAGGCATTAGGAATTGTAAGAAGGGGCAAGAGGCAGCAATAATAAAAAGTAGAGAGAATGAGTCACAGTGAAAAGGTAAATAGAGCTGCAAGAAAGAAATGGAAAGGAAAAAAAGGAGAGAAAAAGGGAGAAGAAGGGAAATCTGCTTAAAACTTGCCCCTATTTCGGGACAGAAGCCTGTGATGGGAAAGAGAGATTGTAAATTCACTCAAATCAATAAATTTTTAGTAATACTTGGAGAAAGCCGCAAAGAGAAGGGTTATTAATGCCTCGTATTTATTTAATACTAACATTTTCTTATTCTGTACCAAAAATTCCCACCAGAAATATAATTATATTATTAAATTACATGATTCTTTTAATATACTTCTGTTTATCTATCAACTGTTATGTAAAGTGTTGTGTGATGGACGATAAAAAGACAAATAAGATATAGACCTAGACTTCCAGGAGCTTATAATATGGGAGGAAAAATGGCTTGAATACCAAAATCTGAAATGGTCTGCACAGAAAAATAATATATACTGATTGGCATTTGGACAGTATTTGGAAGAACTGGTAAAATTTGAACAAAGATTGGGGGAAAGAGAAAGCAGAAGGAAGAACATTTCATTTATGTAACCATTTATTTTTCATCTTTCATACATTTTACAAATATTTATTGATAACATTAATTAGATCATTTGCATGGCTTGAGTAATTTAAATATATGACTCATTTACTCATATGAGGTTAAGAATACAGTGTGGAGTAGAAGACAGGACATTGTTAAGTGGAGGTAGGCTCTGATCACTCTGCCTAAATGATTAGATAAACAAATAAATAAAAATACCAGTAAATTTCTGGATCAGAAATCAATACCATAAGGTCTTAGGGAGTGTTTTGAAGCTTCTAATAATATATCTATCTAATAAGGGTGAGGGGACTAATGACAGTCTCACCAAGTGATAAGAGAATGCTTTGGGACAAAGGCCTCTTGTCTCAGTCAAGAACAAATCTCAAATTGTTCAGAGATCAGCCATGCCAAATCAGTCTGCTGCTCTTGACAGGAGAACTTTTCTCCTTTGGCATCTTTTCTAAAATGTCTTATGCCACCAACCAACTTTGGGGACTTACTTTTCCATTTTTCTCTCTAAATTAGTCCCCTGCATTCTGTATATTCAGCACTGTTCCCCTTTGAAATGTCTTTGGAAACATAATCTTCCAATCTAACTCAAGCCCAAATGATAAGGGAGTGATATTTATTTTCAGTTTTCCCTTGTCTTCTTTTTACTTAGCTCCTTAGCAAGCTCAAACACATCCCAACTCTCACTTAATGTGACTGGCTACTATATATATCCATTTAAGTTAACAGATATTCATTAAACTTCTACCACGAGCAAGTTACTGCAGTGCATACAAAGTCAAAAAAGATACCTACCTAGTAAAATATTTTTATTTAAGCAAAAATAATACTAAATTCAAAGATTTATAGTAATAATAGCTACCAATTATCAAGTGCTTTCTATGTGTAAGGCTCTATGCTAAGCATTTTAATCCTTAACACAACCTTTGAGGTAAGAAGTAGTATTATTCCCATTTTACAGATGAAGAAACTGAGGCTTAAAGAAGTTAAGTCATTTCCCTATGGTTACCGAGTTATCAAGTGGTAATGCCAACATTCAAACTCAGTCAGTCTGACTTAGTTCTCACTCCTAACACCTACAGTATTCTAACAGGAAACTGGTTAATGGGAGAATAGGGAAAGACAATTTTAAAAACTAATGTAGGGGCCAGCCCAGTGGTGTAGCGGTTAAGTTCGCACATTCTGCTTCAGCGGCCTAGGGTGCGCAGGTTCGGATTGTGGGCACGGACCTACTCACCGCTCATCAAGCCATGCTGAGGTGGCATCCCACATAGGAGGCTACAACTCTACAACTATGATGTACAACTACGTACTAGGGCTTTGGGGAGAAAAAAGAAAAAGAGGAAGATTGGCAGCAGGTGTTAGTACAGGGCCAATCTTACTCAAAAAAAAAATTAACGTGACATCAAGAGAGCTCTTTTATTAGGCAATTGTTTCTTAGATATGACAATACAAGCATAAGCAACAAAAGAGAAAATAGATAAATTTCTTCTTCAAAATTAAAAACTTCTTGTTCAAATTAAAAACTTTTGTGCTGGGGCCGGCCCTGTGGCTTGGTGATTAAGTGCACGCGCAGCGATGCTGGTGGCCCGGGTTCGGATCCCGGGAGCGCATCGAGGCACCACTTCTCCGTTCATCCTGAGGCCGAGTCCCACATACAGCAACTAGAAGGATGTGCAGCTACGACATACAACTATCCAGTGGGGCTTTGGGGGGAAAAAATAAAATAAATAAAATCTTTAAAAAAAACAAAATAAATAAAAAAAAATAAATAAAAACTTTTGTGCTTAAAGGATACCATCAAGAAAATAAAAAGACAACCCACAGAATGGGAGAAAATATTTGTAAACCATATATCTGATAAGGGACTTGTATATAGAATATATAAAGAACTCCTACAACTCAATAAGAAAAATACAACCCAATTTAAAAATGGGCAGGGCCGGCCCCGTGGCTTAGCGGTTAAGTGCGCGCGCTCCGCTCCTGGCGGCCCGGGTTCGGATCCCGGGCGCGCACCGACGCACCGCTTCTCCGGCCATGCTGAGGCTGCGTCCCACATACATCAACTAGAAGGATGTGCAGCTATGACATACAACTATCTACTGGGGCTTCGGGGGGAAAATAAATAAATAAAATCTTTAAAACAAAAAATGGGCAAAGGTTTTAAATAGAGATTTCTCCCCCCCAAATATACAAATGAATAATAAGCACATGAACAGATGATCGTCATAAGCCATCAGAGAAATACAAATTGAAATCACAACGAGATGCCATTTCACATGTACTAGAATAGCTATAATAAAAAAGATAGACAATAGCAAGTGTTGATGAAGATGTGGAGAAACAGGAACCCTCATACACTGTTGGTGGGAACGTAAAATGTTGCAGCCGCTTTGGCAGTTTCTCAAAAGGTTCAACATATACTATATGACTCAGCTCCTGGCTATAAACCCAGTGCTACTTCTAGGTATATACCCAAGAGAAATTAAAACATATGTCCACATAAAAACTTGGAGACAAATGTTTATAACAGTTTTATTCATAACAGACAAAAATCAGAAATAACACAAATGTCCATCAACTGGTGAATGGATAAAATGTAGTATATCTATACAATGGAATATTATTCAGCAATTAAAAGAAGTACTGATACATGCTACAACATGGATGAACTTGAAAACATTATGCTAAATGGAAGAAGCCAGTCATAAAATACCACATATTGTATGATTCCATTCATAGCAAATGTCCACAACAGGCAAATTTACAGAGATAGAAAGTAGATTAATGATTGTGTAGGGCTGGGAAGGGAGTCTGGGAGGGAATGGAGAGTGACTGCTAATAAGCACAGGATTTCTTTTTAGGGTGACAAAAACTATTCTAAAATTAGATAGTGGTGACGATTGCACAACTCCATGAATATACTAAATACCATTGAACTGTATACTTTAAAAGGATGAATCGTATGGTAGGTGAATTATATCTCAATAAAGCTTTGCCAAAAAAAATGAAGTTTGGGACAAAAGCAAGGAAGGAAATATTTCATTGATGAAATTCATGGTGTAATGATTAGTGGATAACATTCTTCTGTCTTTCCTACTGAAAAGAATCATATTTAGAATGAAAAGTGTTTGGGCCGGCTCCGTGGCTTAGCGGTTAAGTGCGCGCGCTCTGATGCTGGCGGCCCGGGTTCGGATCCCGGGCACGCCCCAAGGCACCACTTCTCCGTCCAACGCGAGGCCGAGTCCCACGTACAGCAACTAGAAGGATGTGAACCTATGACATACAACTGTCTACTGGGGCTTTGGGGGGAAAAAAATGAATAAATAAAATCTTTAAAAAAAAAAAAAATAGAATGAAAAGTGTAAAACAAACATTGTAAGAGGGAACTGAAAACAAAGCTTGTAAGAGAGCACCTGACTGCTCTAAATGAATCCACTACTCCTGGCCTGAACAAATTACATTCCAAGGCTTTGATAAAACTTGCAAGTGAACCCAATAAAGTGCTGAATGAAATCTGAGAGTTAATGTAAAAATGACAAGATTGCTAGAAATTGTAGAACACTAGTAAAAACTTAAAATATTTTATTTTTATAAGAAGAGAGGATGGTAGAGGCTGCAAACCATAAGTCAAAGATCTTAGTATTGATCCCAGATAAGATCCTAAAATGAACTATCCAAAAGATGTGTTTCTAAACAATTAGAAAAAATTAACCACTAAGTCAGCATGGATTTACAAAAAATCATGCCAGACTAACCCCATGCTCTTTTTGGACAGAATTACTAGACATATTATGTATAGTATTTTGACAAAGCATTTGGTGAGAAATTTCACTACATAAAAACAAGGAAATACAGACCAAGTGGAAGCACAATTAAGGGCCTTTCTTGCACAAATAAACCGAAAGGAGTACTAATTAATTGATCAATATCAACTTAGGAATGACTTGTAGTGGAGTGAACCAGCATTGTGACTTGACACTATTCTGTAAACCACTTTCATCAGTGACTTGAAAGAAAATATAGTGGGCATATTTATCAAATGTGTGTGTTACTTATCTATTGCTGCATAACAAATTTCCACAAATTTAGTGGCTTAAAACACACATTTAGGGGCCGGCCCTGTGGCGTAGCAGTTAAGCGCGCGCGCTCCGCTGCTGGCAGCCCGGGTTTGGATCCTGGGCGTGCACCGATGCACCGCTTGTCAGGCCATGCTGTGGCGGCGTCCCATATAAAGTGGAGGAAGATGGGTACAGATGTTAGCCCAGGGCCAGTCTTCCTCAGCAAAAAGAGGAGGATTGGCACGGATGTTAGCTCAAGGCTGATCTTCCTCACACACACACACACAAAAAAAAAACCAAAAAACCCCCCTCACATTTATTACCTCACAACTTCTGTGGGTCAGGAGTCCAAGGATAGCTTAGTTGGGTCCTCTGTATCAGTGTCTCTCACAAGGCTATAATCAAGATGTCGACCAGGGCTAGGTCTCATCTGAAGGCTCAAATGCGGAAGGATCTGCTTCCAAGTTCACGTAGTTGTTGGTCTTATTCAGTTCCTTGAGGGTTGTTGGTCTGAGTGCCTTGATTCCTAAACCAACCATTGGCCAAAGGCTACACTTAGTTCTTTGCCATGTGGACTTCTGCAAGATGTCCTAGCAAGATGGAAGTCACAATCTTACATAACCAAATCACTGAAGTGATATCCCATCACCTTTCCTGTATTCTATTCATCACAGATCTTGCCAATACTCAAGGGGAGAGGATTACACAAGAGTGTGAATACCAAGAGGCAGGGATCATTGGGGGCCATCTTAACATCTGCCCAGCACTGTATGTTCATCCAATGTGTGAAGTACTTTTCCAATTCAGATCATTTGCAATAGCTGTTCCCTCTCTCTGGAATGCTCTTCCCCCAGATAATCACATGATTGGCGCTTTCTCATCTTTCAAGTATCAGCTCAAATATCATCACCTCAGAGATGTAACATTTATAAAATTCCAAAATATCTTGTTTATTTGTTTGTATGTTGTCTGTTTCTCTCTAGCAGACTTTAATTTCCTTGGGGACAGACAAATTATCTGTCTCATTCACCCTAACATCTCCAGCGCCTAAAACAAGCCTAGAATAGGCACTCAGTATTTACTGAATGAATGCACCAAAGTTGTGAGGAATAGATGACAGATTTAAGATCTAACAAGATCTGAATACTTTAGAATAATGGGTTTTATTTAATATGATAAAAGTTAATAGAAATAAATGTAAGTATACTGTACTTGGGTCTAAAAAACCAACTGGATGGAGATTAGGATGAAAAAGGTAGCAACATTTTACTTAAAAATTCTAGAGTGGTGCTATCCAATAAAAATACAATGTGAGCCACATATGCAATTTAAAAGTTTCTAGTGGCCACATTAAAAAAGTAAAAAGAAACAGGTGAAATTAAGTTTAATAACATATTCTATTTAACCAAAATATCCTAAATTTTGTCATTTCAACACGTAATCAATATAAAAAATCATTGGGATATTTTACATTCTTAATTTTGTACTTTGAAATTCAGTGTGTATTTTACACTTACAACACGCCTCAATTCAGATTTGCCACATTTCGAAAGCTCAGTAGCTACATGTGATATTATAAATGGCATTTTTATTTAGACTCTCTGATTTACAACTAGATTGTGGAGGCTCTTGCATTTGGATTTTATCCTGCAGAAGTGCCATTATAGATTTCCGAGCAAAGAAATGATATGACATCGTAACTATAATAACTAGTCCTTAGTAAGTCCATACTATATGCCAGGCGCTGTTCTAAATGCTTTATATGCATTAACTAATTTAATCTACTCACAATCCCGTGAAGTATTATTATTATCCCCATTTTACATGATAATATAATGAGTAATAACATGCTGGCAGTGTGCAGTACAGATTAAAAGGAGAATAGACTGGCAAAAGTTAGGTTACATTTATTTACTTACTCATATCCACCTTTGACCTAGAAAATATTTCAGGTGGCTGATAAGAGTACGAAAAATAAGACAAAATAACATGAATTGAAAGTGGGACAAGAGAAGAAAGAAAAACATCTTTGCTGAAATCATTTGATCCCCGGATATTAAAATCTCTATAAGCTTTTTAATGTTACCCTATTGAAAAAACAATATTAAAACAGAAATCCAAAGTAAGAATTTTCCTGCAATCTCATCATCTAGTCAAAATAATGTTTTATATATTGATGTTACTTTAAGTTCTTGTCCACGTGCATATTCAATCTTTATATATCTGTAGTAATGCTACAGCTAGTATTTTATATTCTACATTTTTGCTCAACATTATTCCATAATTTTTTTTTGCTTTTATTAGAGTCTTGTTTTCTTTCTCTCCACTCCCATGGACTGTAACCACTGCTAAAAGTCTGGTATATTTCTCCACATCTTTCTCTATGCTCATTAAAACATACCCAAATACATACATACATATATGGGGGTTGTTGTTATAGTGGTAGGTTTTTAGAAATGGGATCATATATTTCTGTACACATTGCTTTTCTTATCTATTACTTCATTGATATCTCTCCATTTTAATACAAATAGTTCTAACCCATTTTGATAGCTGTATAATATTCCACATAAGATCATTTATCTAACAATTCCTCTTATGATAGACATGTAGGCTGTTTTCAGGTTGTTGTTGTTTTTTTTTTTTTTGCTTCTGCAAACAATGCTGCGGTAAACATCCCTACATCCCTGCACATATAACCTCCTTCTGTGCTGATGATTTTGTTAGTAAAGAACAGATTCCAGAGTGGAATTCTTTTAGTTCCTCAAATATTTCAAGCTCTTTCTCACTCTCTGCACATGCTGCTTTCTTTTCCTAAAATGCTTCCTAACACATAGCAATCTGCAATTTTATATTTATTTATATAATTATTTAACGTGTATCTCATCACATGAGTGTAAGTTCCTTGAGATCTGAATCCTATTCATCCTTTAAGTCTTATCACAGCTTAAATATACTTCTTTGTAGAGGTTTTTCCTGAATTCCAATGCAAATGAATCCCCCCATCATATTCTTCATAGGCCCTCAACTTTTCTTTCTTAGAAATTATCACAATTGGTAATTATATATTTATTTGTGTAATTATTTAATGTTTGTCTCCTTCACAAGGACTGCAGGGAGCAAATCTATTTTGTTCACCAGTGTAACCCATATCCCCAGAAGAGTGTATTGTGCCTGAAAGATGTTCAGTAAATAGTTTTTAAATGTTGAAAGAATTATTAAAGGAGGATGGGGCCTGGAGAAAATCATACTGTGGAGTAAATCTTCCTTCCATAACAATTTTTAACAGGTCAAATCCGTTTTAAGTGTTCATTAAGACATCTATGTCAAAAGAACTAGTGTCACCATCAACAAAACCTTGTGGGGAAAAACAATTAGCTGTAAGGGATGGGATATCTCTGCAGAACAATATGTGGTCTAAGAAGGGAATGCAGAAAGGGCTGACAGAATTTTGAGAGACCACCATGAAATAGTTCCTCTCTTACTGACTTGATTCATTTATTCACTGAACAAGTATTTACTGAGCACCAACCATGTGCCAGACACCATTCTAGGTGCTGGGGATATAGTAGTGAACCAAACATACAAAAAAAAAAAAATCCAACTCTCATAGGAAACAGATAATGAGAAAAACAAGCAAATTATATAGTATGTTAAGTCGAAAAGCGCTAAGGAGAAAAATAAGAGAAAGAAGGGAGATGGAAAGCAAGAAGGCCTCAGTGAGGATCAATTTTTTAAAAGATGGTCAGGGTAGATCTTAGGAAATTGACATTTGAGCAAAGACTTAAGGGAAGTGAAGGAGGTAGCCATATGAATATCTAGAAGAAAAGTGTTCTAGAGGGGGAAAGCCAGTACAAAGGCCCTGAGGCAGGAACATGCCTTGTGTATACAAGGAACAGCAAAAAGGTCAGTAAGACTGGGGGCTCACTGGCTTGACAACGATAGAAAAAAGATGCAAGAGTTTATATATCAGGTGCCTTAGAAAAGACCACGCCACTTTTCCTCCTTACTCCAGCTGCTACGTTGAGTCACATGCATACTCACATAACACGCCTCACCTCCTCCTCCCCACCTCCACACAATACCCAGAGTGAGCCTTTTGATTTTCCACATCAGTGTCAACTGCGGGACTTGACTTCCTAAACATAGAGAACTATACCTGGCTTATCTGTGTCGACTGTCGTCAAGGTCCTGATGCGAAGAATCTCATTGTATCATGAAGTAACCGACCGGGACCAGGGCACTACTAACAGGAAGTATTGAGACAATTACTGTACTTTCACAATTCATAGCAAAAGTACCAATATCTCCCTTCCCTCTCCAACCAATCCATTGCCTTCACTTGTTTTCAAAACCTACTTCTAAACTAACCATGACTAGATAGTCACTCCTGACTGGTAATACTAACTAGGTGCACCCAAAGCATTTATACACTCAGAAGCGAATAATTTAAAAACAGTCTAAATGTCTTATAAAGGATTCTAAAAACGCTTAACAGCTCCTTATAGACTATAGGACAAAGCAAAAAATTCTTCGTCTCCTTTTCAAGACTCTCCCTTATCTGGGCTTAAACCTGTCTTACTACTTTTTTGAGAACTCCTTCCAGCCAAGCAGGTCATTCCCCAAAGCGTCAGGCTCATTCTCACTTCTGCTCCTTTTTCACTGGTTCTCCACCTAAAATGTTCTTTCCTCCAAGGCTTAACTGCATTTCCACCTCCTGCGTGAAGCCTTCTTTAACCCTGAGCTCCTAGTAATTTCTGCCGCCTCTAACTTCTATCATTTGTCTACGTCGCTCATTTTGTTTAATAATTCATCAGGGCAAACTCGAAATAAGTTTTCCCGAATCTCCCCCAACACACACACACAGTAGACTCCGTCTCTCAAAATTTCTATCCAAACTGTTGGCCTGAGATCGGGTCCTGTTATCTGTGATGGCTCACTATGTCACACGTTCACATACAAACACGTGCGGGACGCACAGCGGTGAGCGCGATGCTGAGGCCCTTAGGATGTGTCATACAACTGACTGTCTTCCCTCACATCCCTTTGTTCGCGTCTTGGATTCTATCCTCCATGTCTCTCCATTCCATCCTTACCTCTTCATCCCTACTACTGCGTCCCATCGCAGAACCCTGAGCTCGCCCACCAGACTACTACAGGAGACCCCTAACTGGTCTCCTCCCCGGGGCCCTTCAGCCTCCTCCCTTCCCCCCCGCGCCCTTCATTCCCGAGTGACAGCAAGTCTGACGTCACGCTCCTGGTGACACCTCCGGCGGCTCCAAAGCCTCCAGCTCGCCTTCACATGCCTCTCCCCTTGCTAGAAACACCCTGTGGTGTTTGCCTTATAAACGCCTCCTGGTCTTTCAAGACCCAGCTCCAGGGCCATCTCCTGTCTCTCGCTTTTCCTGACGCTCCCGAGCGGGACGGACTGACCGTCCACCCGTGTTCCCACCAAGGACACCGCAACGGTTATACTACCTCCCCCACGGCCCCTCCTCCCCCGACACCGTCAGCTCCTTCAGTACCGAACCCCGTCTCGTTCATCTCTCCACACTCCCGCAGGCCAAACCCGGACCTGGAGGAAACTACGCCCTGGACAAACACCTGTGGAAGCGAATTACTAGTACTTTTTAATCTCCCTGGAGCCCAGGACATAGCTGGGCAGGTACTCAGCTTTCAGTGAAGCCTGTCTACAGGAGCCTCGCACCTCTCAGGTCAGGCATTCACCACAGAGCAGGCCTGACTGTCAGACCGGGCAGAGGGCAGCAGTGACTCCGGCTGCCACAGTGACCAGGAGCCGAGTCTGGCCGACCAACTCCGGGTCTGGCTGAGGGGCGGAGCAGAGGACGACTGACAGGGTAATATGGGCCGACTGAGGGAAGTAGCCCAGTCTGGCTGACTGACAGACTAACCGAAGGTAGCAGCGCGTCCCAATCGACCGCCCGGCGGACCACGGGCAGGAAGAAATGACGGCCAGCCTCGTCACCTTCCCAGACGAGGAAAGACACCGAAGCAAGCGCAGCAAAGACGCCCAGCACGCGCTTCCCGCCTCTCCTCACGCGGAGGAGGACGGGAAAAGGCTTGGCAGGCTGCGAGCCTCGCCGAGTGCGCAGGCGCGGCAGTCTCTCACTCTTTTCCCGCCCTCCCCGAGGCCCCGCCCCCTCCCCGTAGGCCTGCGCGAGCTCCGCCGAGTGCGCGCGCGCAGCAGCCCCATTTCCCCGCCCCTCACGTGGCTCCGCCCTCCCACTTAGGCCGCCGGGAGCTTCCCGGAGTTGTACACGTGCGCGCACTCGAGACGGCCCTCCTAGTCACGTGACTCCCGGCTCCGCGCCGTCTCAACTCCAGTCTTCCCAAGTCGTACTGCCAGAGTCTGGCGTTATGGCTGCCGCCATGTCCTGCGCCGCTTCTCTCGCCGCACTGTTTCCCCTTCTGTTCCTCCTGCTCCTGTCCGCCCCGCATGGCGGCAGCGGCCTGCACACCAAGGGCGCCCTTCCCCTGGATACAGTCACTTTCTACAAGGTAACGGGGAGGGGGGGGAGACATCGCGCGCAGATGCAGCCCGAGCGCCCGGGGGAGCGCGCATCCACGGGGGACGCAGGGGACAGAGGGCTGGCAGGAGGTGGTCTGTAGCGACGATCCCGGGGCTTCCCACCACCGTTTAGGACTGGTGGACGCTGGGCCGGGGCCGTACCATGACCATGGGGCGTACATGATCCAAGGTCCCCGCGCACCCTTGCCTTTGCAGTATTTGTATTTGCTTCCTCTTTTGCAAAAGAGCTGCAGAGATGCAGCCGAGAGAACCGGGTGTCCCTTCCCCTCACCTATGGGGAGAGGGCGGTGCCGGGCGAGATCCAATCCTGGAGTCCCAAGTGGGAGACCCAGAGGGCGGTGCGAGGCGGACGCCACCCGCCTCCCGGCTGTGGTGGGGCGGGAACCCGGCGTGTTAGCGTGCATGTCTGTGGCCCTCTCCCCTTGGCTTGGATTGCAGCCTGCTTTGCAATATGCAAACTATGTCCAGATATCCTGCGTCTCCTTGAAAAGTGCAAGCGTTAAGAATAAGGTTCAGTTCAACCACCCTGTAGGGAGTATCTCGGGCCAGGGGACAAAATGAATAAAATCAGGTCAAGGCATGGAAGGATTCGCCACTAGCTCCCCCTCCCCTGCCCTCATTTACAGAATTTGGGGTTCTCGCCTGGGTAAAGGGACTTGGGAAATGTTGAAGGCTGAATGCAGTCCCAACGCCCTCCTCTTGCACCTGTCTTCACCCACTGGCAGCTTTTAGCTTCACCTAGGAGATGAGGAAGTGTTGAGATAGAGCCAGTGGTTTTATTTTCTTAATTTGTACCCATTGCTGGGAAGTGAAACCAAGAAGTGGAGCTCTATATCTATCTCAAGTGGCTGAACTCTTCCTATTTTCAGAAGGGTTCTTTGTCGTTGATTTGGCACCTGTGGCCCATTCAAAGCAAAGTTTCGAGAATTTAAAAGTGTTGTAAGGTACACCCCACAGTACCCTATGCTTTGGGGGCCTTTATTGGCAAAGTGACACCTCTACTCCCCAAACATGGGAATGGGATAACATGACAGATCATGTGACTTAGAGGGAAACTGCTGCACTGTCAAGTTGACAGTATTTCCTAGTCAGTTGGTGCCTCTCCATCTTTACTGCTACCACCCTGGTCTAGGCTGTCGTTGCAATATCCTCTCCTCACTGGTCTCCCTGCTTTCACTCTTGAGCCTCTCAGTCCATTCTCCAAACAGTAGCCACATCTTACATGATCTGACCCTTGTTTCCCTCTCCTCTCATCTAACCATTCTCCTTTTTGTCCCCTCTGCTCCAGCCACACATGCCTTCTGTCCTTTGAATATTACTGCCTTAGCTCATTACTAGCTCATTACTGCCTTAGACCCTTTGTACTGGAAGTTCCTTGTGACTAGAACATTCTTTGCTCAGTCTTTGAAACGCTGGTTGCTTCTCATCATTCAGGCTTTGGTTAAATGTTACCTTCTCAGAGTCCTTCCTTGATTTCCCCCTCCCCCAGTCTAAAGTGCTAGTCACATTACCCTGTTTGATTCTCTGTAGCTCTGTACTCACCACTGATTTTTTTTGTCTGTTTTATCGTCTCCCACACTAGAATATTATATGCTTATGAATCAACTACCTTGTCTGTTTTGTTCACTGATCATCTGCACCACCTAGCGGGTTACCTGTTACATAGAAGATGTCAATAATAATTTGTTGGGTGAATAAACAAATCTTTTCTCCAGTCTGTTTCTAAATCTCACTCTCTTCCATCACTCTTGGATAAAAGGGGAGCTTCCTAGTGTTATTGTATCCAGGGGTCTTGTTCTGTGCTTTGCCTTTCAGTGATGTCCCATGTCTTTTTTTTTTTCCTTGCCCTTCACCATCACTAGAAATAAGAGACCCTGTCTGTTTTCTTTACTGCTGTGTTCACTTAGAACGGTGCCTGGCACATGATAGGCCCTCAGTACTTTTTTATTCAATGAATGAATAATGAATTCATCTGTATGTTGAAGAAGCAGGTTACCTAAATATAGGTTATGTTGGACCCAATTCCTGCATGAGGAAAGGAGAGAGATTTCTAAAGCGATTAAGAAGTACAGACTGAGTAAAAGAAAAACAAAAATTCGTTGTGCAAATGTTTGCCATTCAAAACCATTCTACCGATGGCTATGAATGGTGAAAGTAAAAGATGGAAGCCTCTCCATTCTATTTTAGTAGACCACTGTATGATTATTAATATTATTCCATAATACAAATGTAGGCCCCTTGAAGGTAGGGATCCATTGTTTGCACTTTTAAAATTTTTTCCCCCTAGACATGTAGCATCTGCTACCAAAGCCTGCCCTAGTTTTGTCTATTTATTAAATATTTTCGGAGCATCTGCCACATGCCAGGCACTTTTGGGCACTAGAGATACAACAGAAAACAGGTCAGACAAGGTCCTTATTCTCATATATGTAAATTCTTGTGGAGAGGACAGACAACAAACAAGCAAATAAGGATTTCAGCGAGTGATTAATGCAGTGAAGAAAGCAGAGAATGGTCACGTGATAGCGTATGATGGAAATGAAGCAGCATTAGATGCTGTGAGGGAGGATGCCTCTCCGTTAGGAAGGGCCATTTGCACTGAGCTTTGAATGACAGACAACCATGGACAAAAACAGGGAAAGGGCATTCAGCCAGCAGAGACCGCAAATGAAAAGGCGCTACGTGGGAATAAGTTTGGTGTGTTGAACTGAAATAAGGTCATTTGGGCCAGAGGGATGTGATCTGATTTATATTTTAAGTCTTCCCTGCTTTTAGGCCGTCAGAGCTCAGACTTTTAGGGTCAGTGACCACTTAAAGATTACCTGTTTTGGTGGCTTCCTCCCTTCCCTTGTGTCTCTAGGCAGTGTTAAATATTTTTTAAAACCTAAAAACAAATGGACATCAGCACACAATAAGGAACAAGGACTAACAAAAACTCAAATGATGTCAGCTTGACTTAATTATGATAATGATTACCTGTGATGAAAAACTGACGGGCAGTGATCACTTTGATTAGAAAAACAAAAAGTTGTAGGAGGAGAGGAAGGCAGTATTACTGACAAAGGCAGTTTGTTAGATAAAATCTGTGCATTGGAAGAAATCATCAAAAGAAAGTCCTTGGGATACCTCAATAAGTTAAACATAGAGTTACCATATGACCCTGCAGTTCCGTCCCTAGGCATATACCCAAAAGAAATGAAAACAGGTGTTCAAACAAAAACTTATACACAAATGTTCGTAACAGCACTATTCATAAATAGCCAAAAGGTGGAAACAACCCAGATGTCCATCATGTGATGAATGGATAAACAAAATGTGGTATATCCATACAATGGAATATTGATTTAGCCATAAAGAGGAATGAAATACCTTGAAAACATTATGCTAAATGAAAGAAGCCAGTCACAAAAGGCCATGTATTGTATGATTCCATCCGAGTAGACAAATCCATAGAGACAGAAAGCAGCTTAGTGGTTGCCAGGGGCTAGGGGGAAGGGGGACTGGGGAATGACTGTTTAATGGGTACCTGGTTCCTTTTTGGGTGATGAAAATGTTCTGGAACTAGATATTAGTGATGGTTGCACAACATTGTTAATGTACTAAATCCCACTAACTTCTGTACTTTAAAATGGTTAAAATGGTGAATTTTATGTGATGTTAATTTTACCACAATTAAAATAAAAATCTTGGCCATGACAGTTCAAGAACTAGAGATCTAGCCAAAGGGAACTGTGGTCTCCGGAGGGGATATTGTCCCAAGCCTGGTCTCAGCATCTTCCCATGAGCCCTAAAATTACGGAGTTCTAATTCTGGGCTCCCTAGCTAAAGCGTCCTCCATGGTGCCACCTCCTTTATAGACAATTGGTTGGTTGGTTTTTGTCAGATTTCTGGTTCAGTGTTTACTGAGAAAGGCCCCTTGGGATGATGGGCATGACAGGGGCCAACATAGTGTGTGCTGAGGGTCTTCTTAGCCTTACACAGAGAGCCACTGGAGGAGAAGGCCTTAGTACATTTACAGCTTTGCTTATTCTATACGGGGTTGTATATGTCTTTGACTAGTGTGAACAAGTACCTAATGGTGGGGTACCCAGTGCATAGCAGGCACCACTAAATTGTTAAATGAATCAATGGGTGAATGAATGAATGAATGAATATTAGTATGGGAGAGGTTGTCTCCCTTGTGGGCTTGGTTTCCACTCTGTTTCTTAAACAGGGGTCCCTTGTGAAAGGGAATTAGCCCCAAAAGTCTCTGGAACCCCCGACTTGCTCAGCTCTATACACCCTCAGGTTATCCCCAAAAGCAAGTTCGTCTTGGTGAAGTTCGACACCCAGTACCCCTACGGTGAGAAGCAGGATGAGTTCAAGCGTCTGGCTGAAAACTCGGCCTCCAGCGATGATCTCTTGGTGGCAGAGGTGGGGATCTCAGGTATGGACAAGTCCAGGATGACTGGGGAGGGCAGAGAGGGAGGAAGCTAAGAATTATTTTCCTACTAGTAGGGGGAATACCCAGTGCCTTTGTGTCTGAGCCACACACAAGGAGTGTAAATGGGGTCATGGCCTCTCAAGGAGTCTAGTACCCATGGCAAGCTTAGCTTGAGCAGATTCTGTGACCACAGAACCTCGCTCAGCCTTGCAGGTGCCTGAGGGGAGGGAATCCACCACCCTTCACCCTCTGCCTCACACTGACATTACTCCAAGTTCTCTGAGAACTTGGAGCTCTCCTTGCAGGAGACTGTGGTCAGGGTGGGGGCCATGCCTCCTAGGGGACAGCGTAGTCAGTTCCTCCATCTTCATTTAGCTCTTTTGTACCAAAACTATTGGGTTTTGGCTTTAGCTCAAATCCACCAGAGCTGTCACTAAACCAAGGGCAGCTCTCAACCACCATAACAACTTTAATAATAATAGTTGCCAACATTTAGTGGTTTACAGTCTGTAAAGATGTGCACAGACATTGGATTTTTAGTCTTCACTTGAACCCCACCTGAGAAGTGAGACGCATTATCTTCATTTTATACTTGAGGAAAACCGAAGCTTCAGTGACTCCTCGGGCTTTGGGGTAGGAAGTGACTCATGCAGAACTCCACCTAAGTATTTATTCCTGAGTGCAGTGGGTTCTTCCCTCTCTCAGTTTCCTCCCATCTGGGATGCCTCGGTTCTCTAGTAAGCTCTAGAGTCTGGTCCTGGGTAGAGATAGCTGTCACACTGCTCCAGGGCAGTCGGTCAGTTTTGACTCAACTGCGAGTCCACTCCCTTGGGCCTTTTAGAATAATAATAATAGCTGACATTTATCAGATGTTTGCTGTGTGCCAGGCCACTGTGCTAAGTGTTTTACGTGTATTTCATCCTTGTGGCAACTCTTTGAAGGAAGTACTATGACCCCTATTTTTCAAATGAAGAAATAGAGGCTTAGAGTAACTTGCTCAAGATCGTAGAGTTTAAAGTGGCAGAGCTAGGATTGGAACCCCACGCTTCCTCTACTACTGCCCTGTAACAGGTGGTCTTGGCCATTTCTTCTTGGCAAGGTGTAAGAAACCAGTTGTTACAGCATCAGCCCTTGGGACTGCTACTGCCTGTTAGGAAGGACATAGCCAATACTAACAGCTACCACATATTAAGCACTTAACTCTGCCAGGTTAAGTGCACGTATCCCCTCATTGGGTCCTCCCGGCAGCCCTCATGTGGTAGGGGCTATGTTCCTTATCTACCACATGGTCCCTTGCTCACTAAGCACCAGCCAGACTGGCCTGTGTAATCCTTAACTACGCCCAGCTCATTCCTGCGTCAATGCTTTTGTACTTGTAGTCCTGTCTACCTAAGACACTCTTCTCAGATCTTCACGTGTCTGGCTCCTTGATATTCAGGTCGCTCAATTCATGTCATCTCCACAGAGAGGCCTTCCATGACCACCTGAAGCGGGCCTTCTTACCCACTAACTCAGTCACATCACCCTGTTGTATTTTCATCATGGCACTAATCACTTATGTTCATTTGTTTATTTTCTCTCTTCTCATCCTTAAAAGAATATAAGCTCCTTGAGGTCAGAGAGCTTGATACTCTTAATCACAACTACATCCCAGCACTTAGAACGGTACCTGGCACATAGTGGGCATATAATAAATATTCAGAAGAATTCCCATTTTTCAGATGAGGAAAATGAAGTTCAGAGAGGTTAAATGACTTGATTAATGCCATATGGCTAGGAAGTAGCAGAGGAGGAATTCAGACACAGCCAAGATGATTCATCTCCCTCTCAGCCCAGATAGGCCTTCTGACAATCTCCTGCCCTGCATTCATCACGGTCTTGCTCCTCATATCTGGTTTCTGTTCACAGATTATGGTGACAAGCTGAATATGGAGCTGAGTGAGAAATACAAGCTGGACAAAGAGAACTACCCAATCTTCTACCTCTTCCGGGATGGGGACTTTGAGAACCCAATCCTGTATAATGGCGCGGTTAAGGTTGGAGCCATCCAGCGCTGGCTAAAGGGGCATGGGGTCTACCTAGGTATGCCTGGTTGTCTGCCTGCATATGATGCCCTTGCTGGGGAGTTCATCAGGGCCTCTGGCGTGGAGGCCCGCCAGGCCCTCTTGAAGCAGGGTCAGGAGAACCTTGCAAGTGTGAAGGAGACTGAGAAGAAGTGGGCTGAGCAATACCTGAAGATCATGGGGAAGGTCTTAGACCAAGGTGAGGACTTCCCAGCATCAGAGATGACTCGGATCACCAAGCTGATTGAGAAGAACAAGATGAGTGATGGGAAGAAGGAAGAGCTCCAGAAGAGCTTAAACATCTTGACTGCCTTCCAGAAGAAGGAGGCGGAGAAGGAGGAGCTATAAAAAGGCACTCCAGGGTTTGGCGGGGTGGGGAGGGGAGAGTTACCTGCTGGCTGTGAGACCCTCCTGGTATATAAGGGAGTGGTGGGAAAAGTGGCACTAAACCAGAAATCTGAGGGTGCCTGCACATTGATGCTGATGTGACCATGCTTGGGATATCTATAGCCAGTCTGGGTATAGCTGGAACACTTACTCAGATGGCTTGTGAAATCGCTCTCAGAAGGAATTGGTACTATAAAGAAGAGTGTATGGCCCAGGTCCTTGACAGGTGTAATTCTAATCCAATTAAAGTTTCCATGTTTTGGTTAAGTGGACCTGAAGCCATTCAGTTGTCTTTTACAAATTATACTTTGGCCTGTGACCTGCTTTCTTCTTTGAATTTATTTTTTAATCTAAGCTTGTATGGATTCCACTCTACCAGGGTAATAGACTATCCTGGTAACATTGTGGAAACCAGTCCCAGCTTAAAGCCTACCTTTATTACTTTCCACTGGTGTTCAGACTCAAGTGGATTGATTGTGGGTGATAAAATGCATTGTCCGTTTTCTGGTCCTTAAAATTGAATAGCAACATTAACGAACTTCAGTGTAATTATTTCCATACTCCATGAGATACATATAGCAAATTCTTAGTTTCACTGATATGATCAGGTGGGGTTTTTTAGAGTTGGATTTAGACAGCTAAATGATACAATTCAGTCCAATATGAAAGTTTAAAAAAAGAAAGGGATTGTTTTCTATCTAAGTTACTTTGTCACTGTCAGTTATTCCGTTAAGTACCAACTTTTAAAAAGCAGAGTGGGAGAGCACTGTGCTGACTTTCAAACATGTTCTCAGGAGTGATGAGCAATTATCTGCAATGGTAAGCTTCATGATAACATCCCCATTTTCATATTTAACTATTGGAAAATATCAAACTGCAGCTCCTGAAATATGTCTAATTGCACCCACATAAAGAAATTTAAGTTGAACAGAGTTGGCAAATAAAACCTTAAATTGTTTATATTCCTCCATTTCAGCCAGATTGGTATTTAAAGTCACTGGAAACAAGAAATGCAGTCAAATCCATGTGTAAATTGGAACAAAAACAATTTTTGTGGTAGCTTAGGTAGCTTAGGCTAACAATTCAAATCAACTAAGTAAAAGATGTTCAAACCTAAATGCCTACCCATAGCTAGCATAGGTACTCGCAACACTTGACAAAAGAATATAACTATTATATATTTGGCCCAACAATTTCAATATTTCTCCTACTCATTATTTCAATTCTAACTGAAAATTTTGGAAGATCTTTTTGGATGCTTCTCACCAGTAAACTTGCTTTTGTTCTAGTTTTTTCTCACCTAACACACGGTCACTTCCAAAGAACTGAGTATTCACTGTCTTATGGAAATTAGAGTAAGACAAATGGCAGGTCAGGAAAGAACTCTAGAACTAAATGCATCCACGGTCCGTGAATGTGGTCTCATCTTGATTCTCAATTGTGAGAGGAATGAAAGAAAAGTGACAACACATCCATGGGTACTTCATTGGATAGGTCTGGGCTGGGCATCGTTATTTATAGGGTCTTTTTTTGTGTGTGTGTGTGAGGAAGATCAGCCCTGAGCTAACATCCATGCTAATCCTCCTCCCCCTGCGGAGGAAGACCGGCTCTGAGCCAACATCCACCGCCAATCCTCCTCCCCACTTTTCCCCAAAGCCCCAGCAGAGAGCTGCATGCCACAGCTGCACATCCTTCCAGTTGCCGTATGTGGGACGCGGCCTCAGCATGGCCGGAGGAGCCGTGCGTCGGTGCGCGCCCGGGATCTGAACCCAGGCTGCCAGCAGCGGAGCACACGCACTTAACCACCCGCACTTAACCACCGGCGCAGGGCCGGCCTATAGGGTCTTTTTTTTTTTTTTTTTAAAGATTTTATTTATTTATTTTTTCCCCCCAAAGCCCCAGTAGATAGTTGTATGTCATAGCTGCACATCCTTCTAGTTGCTGTATGTGGGACGCGGCCTCAGCATGGCCGGAGAAGCCGCGCGTCAGTGCGCGCCCGGGATCCGAACCCAGGCCGCCAGTAGCGGAGCGTGAGCACTTAACCGCTAAGCCAAGGGGCCGGCCCTATAGGGTCTTGAATTGAAGAAACATGGGCTATTGGGCAGGACTAGATTATCATACATCAGAGGCTTTTTGTTTCAAATATTTTTCATTAAAGGTGGGCCCTAGTTTCTAGTTTAGAGTCTGAAGTAATTTGCATATGCCACATAAAATTCAGTCTTCCCTGATACTTAAATCAAATGGATTCTTAAGTCTACTTCTTAACGTCTAATATTCTGGCTCCAGTGCTGCTAATCAGACTGTTAATGAAGGCTATGGACTGGCTTCCCAGAATCAAAAAAGTATATACAATTTTAAGGGAATTTCCAGATAACCTGAAACAAATGAGACCCTGGGTCCAACACGAAGAATCCTGTTCTAAGGCACTTGCAAGTTATCTCAAATAGTGTCAAGAATAATTTTAATTTACAAATAGTCCTTAGTAATTGGTGCCACAAAAAAAAATGTTGCCATTAGAATCGCATCAGGAGAGATTGATTATTCAATAGCGAACCAAGATAGAATCTGGGGATTTGAATGTGGCCATCAAGATTAAGAATGTGAGGGCCGGCCCCGTGGCTTAGCGGTTAAGTGCGTGCGCTCCGCTGCCGGCGGCCCGGGTTCGGATCCCGGGTGCGCACCGAGGCACCACTCCTCCAGCCATGCTGAGGCCGCGTCCCACATACAGCAACTAGAAGGATGTGCAGCTATGACAGACAACTATGTACTGGGGCTTTGGGGGAAAAATAAATAAAATCTTTAAAAAAAAAAAAAAAAAAAGATTAAGAATGTGAGATAGTGTGGGAGGATTCTGGATTTTAGCTCAATTCATCAATGCTCAAGAGTTTGAATCTTACCCAACCAACCCTTACCCCACTGGGTGGTCTTATGTAGTAGCCTTATCTGCAATGACTACTTTCCTCATATGTAAGGTAGTACATTACCTGGGACCCACTTTTACTGGGACATATGGAAGCTGGAGACTACAAAAAAAGCTCTGTGCTTCTCAAGCATAAACTGCTGTAGATACCCCACAAATAATTTTTATAAGCATTTGGCTTACAGTTGCTTACCCTCCACTGGTTACTATGAAATACATGTCTGCATCGAGGCAGTGACAGCATCTAAAAAACAGGGAACATAAAAAAGTGTAAACCTGAGCCCACCCTTTGGGGAAAGTTAACAATGGCAGCGAGGTATATCCAAGTACCCACCTTTTGTTAAAGGAAAAAAGAAGGGGATGGAGTTAATTCATATCTACAGAAGCAGGCAAAAATGGACTTTTTTCAGGGCTGAGGTAAGGGCATTTAATATCACAGGACAGAAAGGAAACTAGGAGAGGAAAAACAAACAGCTCTCTCTTCTTTCCCGTTAGCAGTGTGTCTGACTGAATCAACTTCTGATCTCAGCCTGTGGGTTCGCATACTTTTGGATAAATCATCTCATCAGCCTGTCTGAAATCTTGCAGTAACTTCCTACTAAATTTAGAAATCTCATTTCTTCCCCTGGCTACCAAGTCCTGACTGCTCGGATCCCCTCTCCTTTCTATCTCAATCTCCACTCCCTTCCACTGCGTCCATTAACTCCCAGCCACTTGAGCCTTTCTTTTTCCTTTTTTGTCATTGGAACATTCTCAGCAGTTTCCTGCCTTGGGACCTTTGCTCTTGTGTTCTCTTTTCCATAGCTGACTCTTCATCCTTCAGGTCAGATGGCACCCCTCAAGAGGTCCTCTCATGCCCCAGTTTATCACATACCCTGATTTATGTTATTAAACAGGACTTAATTACAAACTAATATTTATTTTTATTGTCTCTTCCCCCACCTCAGCCATTAGCTAGGATATTGGGTCTCATTTACCATTATATCAGGAGAGCCTCGAGTGGAATCTGGCACATAGTAAATAAGTGCTCAATACATATATGTTGAATTAATGAATGAAGGTACTACTTTCAAACACAACAACTAGGAGCCTGGGAATAAAAATTTTAAATTCAAAAATATTACAGTTTTGCTGGGAAGTGTAATGCTCAATACAAAGTTGGGATGCACTATATCATTTAAAAGGTTGTGGCTTCTAGGAATCCAAATATGAACCAGGCAGAGATGCCAACTTAAAATGAAAGTGTTTATATAAATTAACCCATCCAGTTTAACACAGATGTGCTATATGCTTCACTTAATTCTGAAGAAGAATATATACTGCCCATATTAATAAATCACATCAAATAAGTAGGAAGAGTTTCAATAACAAGGCCATAGATACATTGAAACCCCTTTTTATATTAAAAGTTAAAATGAAAGACAAATCCAGATTGAACATAGTGATTGCAAAATATAATGCAATTTTGAACAATTAAAATTATGAAAATATACAAAATTGATGGGCAACACAGCTAGGCATTTGTACATTTTCCATTATGTGGAGAACACTAAAAATTTCTTTATCTTTTATCCACATCAGATAAATGATTTAAACCAAATGTTTGCTTTGGAGAGTCTTAAGATCTCAGTAGTATAAAAAGCAGTAATTTTTCAGTCTGTAAACAGTAGTCGTATTTTTTCTCCTTTTTTTTTAAATATCAATTTACCACACAAAAACAAACAAAACAAAACAAAACCCCACACAAACCAAAAACAGCAGCAGCAGCAATGGGTTATTTGGGAATTCTCTTCAAATACCAATTACGTACAATTGCTGGAGAGGGTGCTTTTTACTCATGTAAGAATATATATATATATATTTTTTTTTTTTAACTGTACACAATTTATAGTGCATGACAGTTTCCAAAAGAATAGATCAATAAAAGATATTGGCCATTTCTGCATAATTTCATTCTTTTTACAATTATCTCAAAATGTAAGGTTGGATCTAATTGAAATGCTACATTTAGTAGGAAAATCAGCAAGTAATAAAGGAAGCATAATCTCGACAGAACATTGTCACTAAAACCAGTAGAGGTCCCAGATGCCCCTGGGGAAAAGACTAGTCAGGTAGACCACTGGAGTCACGCACTGTCCCTGAGGACCAAGGCCAGCCCACTGAGCAGGTATGCTAGATTGATCATGGTCAGTTGATAGACTTGTTTCAAAGAGTATTTCTATGTACAGTATTTTTGGACAGTCAAGGAAACATCATTTCAAGAACACATGCCATACACACACACCCCCACCCCCATACACACACAAAGTTCTATCTAAATTGGCCAGAGTTTTATGAAATTATGATATGTTGTCATTATATTAGATTTGGAATCAATCAGAATTTTCAATTTCTCTTGT